TGTACTGACAGCAGTTTTATCATTGTTCATTGGTCCAGTTTGTGATCAGTGCCAAACGTATCATGGGAAAGCGGGCATTTTGCGTGGTGCCGAGTCCTTCGTGTAGTGTGTACAAGGGGAAATATTGCTCTGTGACCAGTGTGCTCCTGTAGGTCGCTATTGCTCCAAACGTGATACACAGTCTTGTGCTGGCCAGCCTTGCCTGAAGAGTTACAGAATTCACACTGACCTGACTGGTTTGAAATTTTAAAGCTCTTAATTTTTTCCTCTCAAAAGCTTGCTTGACTGTTAACTAGTTTCTGTCCAGATCAAGTTAAGGTGACTTAGCTGTCTTTGAAGACTGCATTCTGTAACTCATCATTAATTTTTTACTCTGGAAACTAAATTCAGACAGCTTTACAGAAGGTAATCCCATAGGTGATTCTTATGTTCTGCACCAGAGCTTATCTAAATGTGCTGAATATATCAGTTCATGAAATCCACAGTCACTGAGATGCTAGGGAGAACTGGCTCTTTTGAAAGTCTGTCTTAATGATGAAACTTCCCTTGATGCACTTCCAGGCCTTGGGGTAGCCGCACTATGCAGCGGTGGCTTGCCATCTGTCATGTTGAGAGGCCTGCAGTGCAGCACCACTTCAAATGACTCTCCTTGGAGAGGAACAAGGCTGAGACTGAAGCGACTCCTTCACTTGGCAGTTGTCTTAGGTCTGTGCCTTTCCCTGCTAGTGCAGCGTGCGATGAGGAAGCTACAGATAAATCGCTTTAAGAGTGATCACTTCAGCTCGTTAGGAGCTTGCTAGAAAACAAATCGTGCTTCCTGATGGAGGGGCTGTCCAAGGAAGAGTTACATTCTGGAGACAGGGTTCTGTTAACAGTGCTCCCTTGGAATAGACACTCTGGCAAATCTGTCAGGCATCTTGCCTGAACGATACCCCTGTGAAATACCAGAGATGTCTGGCAATACATGTTTGTTGGCAAAGCTTCCAGGAGATTAGAAAGCAGCGATGATGAGAAAAGCTTTGCATTCAGATGCCGAAATCCTTTCTGCCAGTGGGGAGGGGAAAGGGCTGCATGTTCTGAGTGTTAGAAAGGGACATCTATTTTGTGGTACTGACATTCACCTCCAACTTCTTTTCCCAGTGCCTGGGCTATGTTCCTAGACAGACCTCAGCAGCGGCTGCAGCTAATCCTTTTGCCTCCAGCACTCTTTATTCCAGTCCCAGAAAACGAGGAGCAGCGTGCTGAATTTGCCAAAACTGTGCCAGAAAATGTCCAGCCATTTGTGATCTATGAAGAAACCACTGATGTGTGGATAAATGTAAGAGGCTCGGGGCTGCGAGGAGAACACAGGCTGCCCCTTCCTCCCCCACAGTTAACCATTTTTGTGTTGGCTGTGTGTCCAGTTTAGTCCATGATCCGGCAGACTGCTTTGCTAATCAGTAATTCCAGATTTGGTGTTAATTCAGGAGGTTTGATAAAGCCATGAGAAGGACTTTCATGCAGTCAGAAAGACTGGAAGAGATGAGGATTCTGCCATCTCCTTGCAGTTGCAGCTGTTCATTTAATTCTTGCTAACGTTCGTGGTGAACACAGGCATTTTGGACACTGACGCTCTTGGATGTAACACTGCTATTCTTTTTGGGGTATTTTAGTACAAGATTAAATAGCCTCTTGAGGGAAGAGCAACCCTAATCCCTGGAATTTGTTGCGCTTGTTTAGGTAGGTAATGGACATAGGGGACAGGGAATAAACTTCAGCCTCTAAGATTAAACATCTTAGTATTGAAGTGACAAAGGGGCCTGGAGTTCACACCGTGGCATTCCTAAGGTGTTGGAATAGCAACCACCTTGTGGGACTCATAGCTGAAATATCTAGCTCAGAGGCAGGACTGGTGCTGGTTTTGGTGGTAGCCATGGAAAGCCCAGAGCACATGGTCTTCTATGTGGGCCCAGAGTTTCTTTGTGGTAAAAGGAAAGTATGGAATGGCTTTTTCCCACTAGCTGCTCATCTGAGTTATTTCTCCCCGCTCCTTTCCTTTGAAGGCCCAGTGGTTTAGCAGTGACTCCCTTGGCTATGCCTTTGCTGTCTCAATACAAATCACTCACGTGTCTTTTGCCTTGTGTGACAGGTTCATGATATCTTCTATCCTTTCATCCAACCGGAGGGAGAGGAGGAAGAACTCTGCTTTATCCGAGCCAATGAATGCAAAACAGGTTTCTGTCACCTCTACAGAGTCACAGCAGTCCTAAAGCAAGGCAGCTATGACTGGGTGCAGCCGTATGTCCATAGTGAGGGTAAGAGCTGCACTTTGTCGGCGTTTCAGCTTTGGGAGCTCCCGCTCTGATTTGCTTGTGTTTGTCTTTTGGGGAAGACAGTGATTTATTCTCATGTTCTTTCTTCTAGATGATTTCAAATGTCCTATCAAAGAGGAGATTGCCCTGACTGGTGGGGAATGGGAGGTGTTGGCGAGGCATGGATCGAAGGTAGTGGTTATTTTTATTTTCTCTTGCAGTGTTACAGCTCTGCATTGTCTGCCCACAGTCCTGGCCTATGCCCTCTGTTACACCCGGGACCAGCTAGAACTACTTAAGCTTCATTTTGTTTCTCTTTTTATTGCTGCCTCTGCTTCCCCCAGAAGTGCTGTAGTCCAGTGCACACTGAACTGATTGCCTTTTTAATCAGACTTCAGATTGCTCCTTAGGTAAATCCCGTGAGTAAGTCAGGCCATAAAAAAGGACACAAGTCTGAGGTTCAAGAGCAACAAAGAACTATTTTGTGGAGAAGCTTGGGATTGCTGCCTTTGCCAAAGCATTTTAACCCCAATGAGTACTGGTGAATTGGAAATACGTCCTAGTGCTTAGAGTGAAACTCTTGGTCTCCAGCTGATCCCTCAGTAGAGCCTTTAGGAAGAAGGCAGCTAGGGAGTATAAAGCAATTTAGAATATGGAGAAACTGTATCTGTTATTGGTTGCAGAATAGCCAGAAATGAATTTTTATTAATCTTGTGGAAACCTAGTTCCATTTTTGCTGCCGGAATTAACTCTGAGTCTGATCTTTAATGCTCCCAGGTGATTTCTGTCAAAATAAAGACCTTGTCTGTTCATTTCCAATTAATCTGGATTTTCACTTCTCGCTTTTTAAAAGGCCTACAGCTCCATGTGTTTGGTTTCTGCCGCTTTTCCTCAATCTGCAATTAACCTGCTGTCCCTCCCCATGTGAATTCTCTCTGTACATGCTGTTGATTTTGGCCACAGCTCTTCCCTGCATGTGTTATGGCTAAAATTGTGTTAGCAGCAATTATTTTGATGCATTTGTTGCTCCACAGGGCTCTGCCCAGTTTTCCTGGCCAATTAAATTGGATATTTTTTTTCCCTTTGCTGTCCACAGTGGTCCAAACACTGTGGGTTAGCCAGAAATAGCATTTGAGCTTCAGCATTTGGAAACTGTAAGGTGGAAAACAGTTCAGTTACTGTTGCCGGATCAATGCAGTATTTAAAAGCTGTCATCTCTATTCCTGGCTAGCCAGGTGGCTTTTAGAAACAGCTTTATCTGGACATTAAAAACATATTTAAAGTTTGGTACTGTTAGAGCTATTAGACTGATCCTTCCGCAGATGGGAATTCGTCATCACAATTGCTGGAAAAAATACACAAGTACCCTTATAATCCAGACATACTATGGGAAGACACCATATTTAACCACGGAATCTTCCTAGTTTCACCTGTGGGGAATAGAGCCCAACTTTTTATGCTCATTGGTAAGCAAATGCTTTGAGTCTCTTAAAAAAGCGGAGTGACCACTTTTCGTTACTTCATTGGACTATATGCAGTTCTCCATAAGTGCTGCGTATGTGTTCTCTAGCCTTTCATATCAAGAGGCCTTGTGTACAGTCCCTAATGCCGTGAGCAGTCTGTCATGGTCTATTTGTGTTTTAAGCTGACTCTGCCTGGGGCCAGTTTGAACTGGCAGAGGAGCAGTAGTTGTCATCCTTCTGTCACTGAGCCCTCTCTTCCCCACGTAGATCTGGGTCAATGAGGCTACAAAGCTGGTGTATTTCCAAGGCACAAAGGACACCCCGCTGGAGCACCACCTCTACGTAGTCAGCTATGAGTCTCCTGGAGAAATTGTGCGACTCACCACTCCGGGCTTCTCCCACAGCTGTTCAATGAGCCAGGTTTGTTGTTTCTTAGATACAAGATGCCCTCATCCCCTGGCTGACAGAGATCCAGACTAAGAATGGTAATGAATCATGACCAGTAATGAGTCCTAGGGCTTCTTTGTCTTGGTTGCCTGACATGTGGAAGCTCTTGTCTGAGACCTGCATGGACGAGATTAGATGTGGGAAATGAAAGACCTTGTTCCCCTAACTCTCCTTTCTCCCATCTGTAGAACTTTGACATGTTCATCAGCCACTACAGCAGCGTGAGCACTCCTCCTTGTGTGCACGTCTACAAGCTCAGTGGCTCCGATGATGACCCGCTCCACAAGCAGCCCAAGTTTTGGGCTAGCATGATGGAGGCAGCCAGTAAGTCCTGTAGAACGTGTCAATGCAATACTATGTCTGTGATACTCTTCCTACTAGCGGTAGCCAGAAGTGATGGAGAGGCAAGTGGCCCAAGTAACCACTCTAAGGCAAAATGAATTATGTTATCTTGCAGGGCAGGTATCTCTAGTGGGTAGCTCATCCAGGAAATGGTGTATAGGCTTTTAAGATGTTACTGTTCTGTACTTTAAGGCTGCAGGCTTTAAAGTTTTAGATACAGCTCACAGCAGCACCTGAACCCCTCCTGCAAATGTTTTCTCCATTTGACCCATCCCCGTTCTTAACCTTCCACATTTTGCTGTTTGTGGCATAGAGTGCCTTATCTGAGAATACTCAGCTGATGATGTTTTCTTGTGTGGTCCCTTCACTCTTTATACGGCCTGTTGCCCTACGCAGGCAGATAGAAGCTCTATGTTTCCCAGTGAGAGGCTTCTGGGAGGCATTGCTAAGGCTTGGTATGGTTTGGTATTGAAAGAGCCTTGACTAGGGTCAAGTTTGAACAGAATGAGCTTGTTCAGGCAGGGCAGGAGGCGGTGCTTGCTGACAGCTACTACATTGCTAGTGTCTGAACTTCTTTCTGCAGGCTGTCCCCCAGATTATATCCCACCTGAGATCTTTCACTTCCGTACACAGTCAGATGTTGAGCTCTATGGAATGGTCTACAAACCTCATGATGTCCAGCCTGGGAAGAAACATCCCACGGTGCTCTTTGTGTATGGAGGCCCTCAGGTAATAATCCAGATTGTTGACTGCTAGTGTTGGCCATGGGATTGCTGTCCAGGGCAGAGCTCTGCTGTAGCTCAGTCATGCATTCAAGACTTACGCTTTGGTTAGCACTGAGCACTGGATCTCTGTTCTGACCTCTGCTTCAAACCTCAGATAATTTTTCCAGCATTTGGTCTGATTTGCGTGGCTCTGATAGCTCAGTTAGTTGCTGCTGTCCAGCTCGGGATCCCACACAGTGGGACAGACGGAGGAAGGTACCGGAAGGCAGCTGCTTGGCTCTGCAACTTTTCTTCCCTCCTCCTGCAGGTGCAGCTGGTGAATAACTCCTTCAAAGGAATCAAGTACTTACGACTAAACACACTAGCGTCCCTAGGCTATGCTGTGGTAGTAATTGATGGAAGGGGTTCATGCCAGCGAGGACTCAAATTTGAAGGGGCCCTGAAAAACCAAATGGTAATGTACTACTTTCGTTGATGAATCTGTTCATTTGCTCTTTCTAAGACTGCCTGGCTGCATGTTTCCTGTGTGAGTGTTGCTCTTGTCTCTTCTGTCTCAAGTTTCCAGATTTAGAAAGCCACTAACCTGAGCTTCCATGTTGCCTTTTAGGGTCAAGTGGAGATAGAGGACCAGGTGGAAGGTTTACATTATGTAGCAGAAAAATACGGGTTCATCGACTTGAGTCGGGTAGCCATACATGGCTGGTCATATGGGGGTTTTCTTTCCCTCATGGGCCTTATCTGCAAACCCAATGTCTTCAAGGTAAGTCTCTACATGGGGCTGTCATCCTGGGACTCTTATCTCTCTCAGCTTCTGGAACTCTTGGCATCTGGAGTTGGCTTTTTTGCTTGATGTTTCTGATGGACAGGTGAAAATGTCCCTCAGTCCTGCCTGCCTGTAGCTCCTGGCTACAGTCCTGCATTCTGCTTACAGTTCACACTTGTCTGAGGCTTGATGGGGTCGTTCCCCAGTGACTGCTAGTGGAGGACTTAGCCTAGCATCCAATGAGATAATTTATGCACTATTCCTAATCCCCTTCCCGAGTCCTCCTTGAAAAGGGAAAGACTTTAGTGCTCTTAGGCAGGGATTTGCCTCGTTGTGACTATAAAAGGAATAGCACGAGGAAGAAACTGGGTTTTACAAGAAAAAATCTGGGGTTTATGTGGGTTTGCTGTAGAAGAATTCTGGTCTTGAGTGACAGACCAGTCCAGAGCCTGTTTTTTCCTGCCTCTTCAGGAAGAAGGGGAGCACTTGAACTCTTTAGCACGTGATAATTGAGGCTGTCTCCTGCCACCTATTTGTTTGACAGATTGCTATAGCAGGTGCTCCTGTCACAGTGTGGATGGCATATGATACCGGGTATACTGAGCGGTACATGGATATCCCAGAAAACAACCAGCAAGGTTATGAGGCTGGCTCTGTGGCATTACACGTAGAAAAGCTTCCCAATGAGTGAGTACCGCGTGGTTGAGTGATCCGCTAAAAACCTGCTCCCGGGTCCTGCTTGGTGCCACCAGTTGCACCTCTGCTGAATCCTAGAAAAACAGCTGGATTCTGACCCCATTTAATTTTACCTTACCTGGCTGGTTGCTGCCTTCTGCAGCAAGCTGGGGCACTGTACCCAGCCCCCTTTGCCGGGGAAGGGTTGAGGACCACATCCACGGCCTTATGCTGTTCTGACTGCCTGTCCATTGCGCAGTTTTGGCTTGCTGACCGGCAGCTCTTTGCTCAGACCCACTGCAGGGCTGTTTGTGTGGTTTCTCATCCTGTCTCTCATCCCACCCCCAGGCCAAATCGTTTGCTGATCCTCCATGGCTTTTTGGATGAAAATGTGCACTTTTTTCACACCAACTTCCTGGTATCACAGCTAATCCGGGCTGGAAAACCTTACCAGCTGCAGGTAGGAGGAACAAGAGTGAAGTGGGAAGGTCCCTTAAATCTGGAAGAAGTTTTCTGCTGTGTGTTCAGGGGGTGGGAGAAGGTGGAGGCAGATGCTCCCACATCTCGTTGCCATGTGGATGACCAGTAAATGCCTAGTTTGACTCCAAGAAGTGGCCGGGAGGTGGCACTGTGGCTGTTTCATTGCTGGCAGATGTGGCCTGTCTCTCAAAGCATTTGCAAACGGGGCTCCTGTCCTCAGGCCTGGAACTTTCCTTCTCCACTGAACTGTTGCTGTCTCACTTGGCTGGTGGCAGCAGAGGTGGCTGACTTTGGAGCGGACTAGCAGCACACGCCAGCGCAGCGCGGGAGGGGGGCTGGTGTTCTAGACCTTCCCTGGCACCTCTTTGTCCCGATGGTGACTGGGTTGAGGGAAGAGGGCGGACGTGAGGGAGGCTTGTCCGTGCTGAATGAGCTGCTCCCAGCTAACTGCCCTGTCTCTCTGCTTCTGCACAGATCTACCCCAACGAGAGACACAGTATTCGGTGCCCTGAGTCAGGAGAGCACTATGAAATCACGCTGCTGCACTTTCTACAAGAATACCTCTGAGAGCACAAGCCTCTGCAAACTGGACACTGACAGCTCACCTTCCCCCTCCTGTGCCCTGCCACTACTGCCTCCTTCGACAGCCATCTCGCCCAGAGCACAAACGGCCGAGTGCCCCCATCTGGGCCGGGTGTCCCCCCCGAGCGAGGGGGGGAGGGTGGAGGGCACCTTCCCTTTGGACAGTGCCACCTTCTTTCATTATCCACGCTGGAGGTCTGCCCCTGCTCAGCTGCTCGTCCTGTCCCTCTTCTCTGGCCTGGCTGTTAATGCTTTTTTTGCTGCTACTCCCTCTCTCCTGGGGATCAATGGACAGTGGTCTGTCTCCCGAGGCTGAGGTTTGTGTCCATCTCTCTCTCCCCCTTCCTTTTCCCCTTCCACTGCACCTCTGCAGTTCCCATACTCTTACCTGCAAGAACTCAGTGCCTGTGTTGGAAATCGAAGAGCCGAATCAGCAAGCTGCCTTAAGCCAGGAGTAGGAGGGGAGAGAGAACTTACCTGTTGTTAAGCCCCGGGGGAGCTGATTGCTGCTGCTGCTGCTGCTGTGTCCTGGCGCTGCTGCGACAACGTGGAGCCCTGGGATGCGACGAGAGCTCTACAGAAGCGTGCAACACTAGTCTTTTCTATTTTTCAATTTAATTTTGCCGAGCAGATGGAGGAAGTGGCTGGGGTCCGTAACAGCGTCCTCTGATACCTTTCTCTAATGGCCGCTCACAAGCAGAGTTGTGCCAACAGGTAGCATGGCAGCTGAAGCAGCTGGCTACAACCAGAGATCATCTCTCCAGAGATCACAGCAGCATTTGGGTTTTTGCAACGCAAGATGGATGATATTTATGCAAATCCTCCCTCCCTCCGTTCTCTGTGCTGCCTCCTGATCCCACCTTCTCCTTCCCTGACACCCCGAGCTTTCAGATGTGCACTGAAATTGGCTGTGCTTCAGTTCTCTGCGGGTCAGTGACTGTTCCCCTTGCCCGTCTACTCAGCAAATGCTCTCTTCTTGTTTTTATTTACCTGGTCAACAGGAACTGCAGTTCTGGGGAGGGGGGATTGAGCAATCGCACCTCAGGGGAGCACATACCCCCCCTCAAGCCAAGGGTTCTGCCAGGGGCCTCAAAGTTCATGTGAATGACTTATATAAACAAGATTTAAAAAAAAAAAAAAAACAAAAAACAAAAAACAACCAAACCCAAAAAAAAAAACGTAAAACCCCACCCAAATGAACCACGTTGACTTGCCCTGGAGTATTTTAAGTGCGTATTATGAAAAGAAAATATTTTTATGGATTCTTATTCTTTTATAATTATGAGTGTAAGATGTAGCGACTCATTAAAATATTGGACAGAGACACGCTGGCTGGCATTTGTGCCTGGCTTTGGAGTGCAGGAGAGGGCTGGGGAGGAAATGGCAGCTGGCTCACGATAGCCAAAGCTGTGTCTGTGGTAAAAGCAAAGTGCTCTGTTTGGTTTCTGTGCCGAGCAGTGGAGAGAATATTAAATCCCTGATGTTCCTCGGGGGAAGCATGATCCAAGCAGCTGAAGGTACAGGGTGGAGAGTTGGGAATCCTGGACCGTGTTCTTGGCTCTGCCATTAAGGCGCTGCATGACCTTGAGCGAGTCAGACATCTCGTCCTTGCAGATACCAGCCACGGTGCTGGCGGTCGGTACCTCGCCCGGTGCCCCGACTCGCTCCGACTTCCTAGGGGGATGCAGCTGCTCTGATCCAAGCGCTTGCAAGCGCTCGCAGCTCTGATCCCACATGAGAACACAGGGAGCTGCTTTTTGCAGGTGCAGAGCCTGCCCATGCTCGCCCTCTCCGGAGCTTAAAGCTTACGAAACCTGGCCTTGCTGTTTTCTTTTCTATATGGGAGTCAGGCATTAATTAAACTACTATTAGATGCCTTGAGGGCGCAAGCTGGAGGCTTCTGTTTTAAATGCAAAGCATCTTACAGCTGGGGCATTTTGTTTTCTGAAGATGGCTGTGAGCATAGTTGTTGCCTCCTACTTGTCCCTGTGCCCGAATAATTGTCCGGACTATTGCAGTTGTATTTTATCTTCTACCACGCACCCCGTTGAGTAACTTCTGGTGCAGCTTTTGAGGTCGGAGGGGCGGAAGGGGACGTAGTGGAGGAAGTTGCGCATCTCTCAAGTTTCCTTGAGAGAAACCTGCAGACAGAGAAGTTGCTCCCCTTTCTCCCTGCCTTCTTTAGAGCCGGGTGGGTGCCAGTGGATGGTAAGAAGCTTTATTTTGCAGGGTTTGTTTCTTCTCAGTCTTAATTTTAACTGCTTTTTCCTGTCCCGAAAGAGCAAGTGTTTCTTAAAATGTCTGCAATACACTCTTAAAATGCTCTTGTCTAAAAGAGTTTACGAATTTGTCAGCTCCTTTGATCCTCCAAGCTTCCTTCTGAAGCTGTAGGATTATTTGACACCATAAAAAGGAGTCAGTTTTCTTCTTTTGAGCCTTGAGAATCCTGAGAGGCATTAACTGGGAAATCACCTCCTGCAGTCCTGAGCTTTTCAATATGTAACAGGCTCTGCCAGGGATTGAAATACAGATGATGTGGGAGGCCCCCACCCAGCTGTCCTGCGGGAAAGGTAGTGGGAATATGAAGCACGATGCCGCTGGGTTCATGAGATCTCTCTCGGATAGAGGAGTTGCAGCTGTAGCATGAAGTTGAGTTAATTTCCTGAGCGAGCAGTAACGGCCGGAGGAAGCGGCGGGTGCTGTGAGGGGTGCTGGGGAAACTGGGCACAAATGAGTCTTCTTCAAGGCTTGAGACTAAGCATGAGAGGGGCTTGGGAGGCATTTCTCCCACAAAAACTCAACGTGGGGCTTTGTTTTTAGGAGGAGGATGTGGAGGGAGAACAGATGTTCTTGATGACTTGTTTTTAAAACAAAAACAGTGCTCAAGCTACAAATTATCTCAGAAAAGCCACTGGTTGCCCTGAAAGATGCTTGAATGGAAAACTTTCAGGCATCTCTGTTCCCAAAGCATGTGGAATAAAGGTGCGACAATGGCTCTCGCTCCTGGAAAGCCACGTCAGTGGAAACTCTGTGTTTGGTGATTAGGGGTGTCTTGGGCATTTGATCTCTGTCCTCTGCCCAGGCACTGCCGTGTGCTCCGTGGCTTTGGAGAGCAGCACCCCCAGAATAACTGAAGTTACTCAGAAATACCAGGGTCCATCAAAGGAGGCGTGGGGCGTGCGGCGGCGATGTGAGGAAGACAAATGGCTGCAGTGGAGGGGGGCCGGGCTGGGGCTGGGCGAGGGCTGTGTGTGAATGCTGGCAAAGAGAAAGGGTGTAAATTGATATTGGAAAATCCTCACGGACGGATTTTGGTGAAGCACGTACGCACGGGCATCCTGCCTTCATGCTGGGACAGATGCGAGGCTTCAGTCATCGGCGTGGAGTGGCAGCTCCTTCGCCTCCCCACCTCTGTATAAAAACCTTTTATCTCTGGTTCCAGCTCGAGCCCTTTGCTCAGAGGCTGGCACAGTTTTCTGCTGGTGCAGATTTCCACTGGCTTTCAAGTGAAAACGGCTTCGTCCTGGCCCAGCGGCCACAGCTCTTGCTCCGCTGGGCTCTCCTGCTTTGCCTCGAGTCCCAAAGCTGCTCTGGGTTGGAGTTCGGAGGATGAGTTGTCTCCAGCAAACAGGCAAACCTTGCTCTGGAGGGGTCCAGATATCACACTGCCTTCTCCGCTCATCCTGCTGCTTGGGGCTTGATCCTGCTGGGTGCTGGGTCCCCAAGCAGGGGCGGTTAGCTGTGCTCCTTGTTGGTGTGCAGGGAGTGCTGCTGCAGCGGGGGATGCTGCTGTGGGAAGGGAAGAGAGGGACAGTCGGGTGACAGAGAAAACCAGTGGGATTTTGCAAATAAAGAGTGGGGAGAGGCCAGAGGGAGCGTAGTGGGGCAGGAAGAGGGGAGAGCCAGCACCGTCACTGCCGCTCTCGCTGCCCTTTTGTCTGTGTTTGCCTCCTCCTGCCATCCAGGCTCTGCTCTCTCACAAAGCCGCTCATCCCCCTCCTAAAAAGGACAGTTAAATACCACCCAAAGGACAGCTAAGATCTCCTCAAACTCCTGCCAAAACAGCAGCATGGCCATGCAAAACCTGGAACCGATGGGTCTCTCTTCCCTCTGGTTTGGCTGCTCTGTTTGCATTTCTCTGCCTCCCACTTCACCTCTAATCTGGGATTGGAAGGACTTGTCCTTCTCCCAGCTCATGGCCCCAGCTGGTAGCCACAGGGCTCAGCCTGAGGATCCCCCCTGACCCCACTCTTGCCTTTGCCCCCAGCTAGGGGCCATGGCTGTGCTGCTGGGGCTGCTGCTGGCCCTGCTGGGCTGCACCGTGGCATTGGATCCTGCCCTGGAGGAGGCCTGGGAAGGGTGGAAGAGCTTCCATGCCAAGGAGTACCCAGGGGTAGGTCCTGCCTCCCCCCCTCCCCAGGCCTCCCGGCATGTGCCGGCGCTGGCCCCAGGGAGTCTCACCCAGAGCCACCCGTGTGCACCCACCCCGTCCCACGTCCCCATGCTTTCGGGGGACGTTTCTGATCCTGCTGCCGCTCTGCCCCGTGGCAGGAGGTTGAGGCTGCCCGCAGGGAGGTCTGGGAGAAGAACCTGCAGCGCATCCAGCAGCACAACCGGGAGGAGTCGCAGGGGCAGCACGCTGTCCGCCTGGCCATGAACCACTACGGGGACCTGGTACCTGCCGATGTGCCTGGCACCTTTCCCGGGGACCCCTCCCTGCACCCAGGACCTGATCCAGGGGCTGGGGACCCCTAACCTGCTCTGCTGGGAGCTGCATGTGCCCCTGGGTTGCCACTTGGGGGTCAACTGGCTGGTGGGGAGCTGCGGTGGTGCCGGCTGGGTGCTGGTGGCATCACGTGAGTTTTCCCTTGGCGACCTGCAGACGGACGAGGAGTTTAACCAGCTCCTGAACGGCTTCACCCCAGCGTGGCAGGAGGAGCCAGCGCTGCTCTTCCAGGCTTCGGCAGCCCGGAAGACCCCGGCAGCGGTGGACTGGCGGGCAAAGGGCTATGTGACGCCAGTGAAGAACCAGGTGGGCACAGGGCAGGGGTCCAGCCAGGGCTGTGCGATGGGTGCTGGGAGTCTGGGCAGCAGAAACAAGCAGCTGCATCCTCCCAAGCACCAAAAAACCTCTGGGCAACCCTGAGAAGCAGCTCCCGTAGTTTTGGCTGCTGCAGTTTTGCAGCTGAAGAGCTGGAGAGCAGCGCCAGGGGGGTCACAGCATCCATCTCTGGTGGGTTTTGAGGTGATGCTGTGACCACCCCGCACTGTCCCAATCTCACCCAGGGGCACTGTGGGTCATGCTGGGCGTTCAGTGCCACGGGGGCCTTGGAGGGGCTTGTCTTCAACCGGACAGGGAAGCTGGTGGTCCTGAGCGAGCAGAACCTCATCGACTGCTCCCGAAAGCTGGGCAACAATGGCTGTCCTGGTGGGTGCACGACCC